GAATACTACTCTTGGTTCTGCATAATTGATTACCATCAGAAATTTCTGCTTATTCGAAAACTATTCCAAGCTCATTTAAGTACACAGGAACAAATTCCTATATTCTCTTATTCAGCAGGTTTTTCTAAAACTTGTCACATTTAAATTATAAAAGATAAATAGAAGTACACTTCTTTTGTTTTTAAGGTAGTCTCTTTTTGAAGGACATGGTAGTAGAAGAAAAATATTTAGAACAGTATTTTTCATTTAAAAAAAAATCCAATGTAATCATGGATAAGAATGTGTTAATGTGTAATGCCTGACCACTGTATAACTTTTATCTTTGCAAACCAGTGCAGGATAACAATGTAGTTATTTCTCTTCGCCAGTAGATTTGTTAACATCTTGCCTTCTAACCATGTATACCTTGCTTCTACTGCCATAAATGCTAAGCTTCTCAATACTCCACTCTTCTTCTAAGAGGATAGAACTCTATCCGCTTCAACAAAAGTTAAGAAATAAAACTTAAAATGGCTTTGATAACTTGAGGGAACACAAATTCCTGTTTATGAAGACTTTGTAGCAATGTAATAGGATTGTTTTAACTACCTAATTAAAATAAACTATTACTAGAGAAGATCTTTAATTTTAGTACAACAGGTTTCTCGGAGAAGCAGAAGACTATAATCCTTCTAGACTTTAAATATACATAGTAATTAATATCAAGAGAAAGAATTGGAATTAGATCAAGACCCAGTAGAAGATATGATAGGAGATATATTGCCTCTCAATATGAGAGTAGACAAAATACCCATCTATCACTTATCTCGTTGAAGGCTGACAATACTATGTTTCTTTAAAAAACAACAAAGCAATAAATAGCTTAGTTGCAAAAAATTAAGAGTGCCCTGTGTGCTTAATTCATTGAAATATTTCTGAGATCAAGAACTAGAAAAGCAATTTTGTCTTTTTCATAAAAAGAAAAAAAATCTAGTTTGAGTTAAGAACATCATGTTTATGAAAGCAAGGGGAATGTAAAAAAATAGGTGACTTTAAGTATCTTAAAATATATTTTAAGTGTCTCATTAGAAAAAATAAAAAAAAAAACCTAAACAGTATCACTGATAATACTTTTTAAAAGCTGCCCTCATTTTAAAATTGATAACTAAAATAAGAATTTCAAGTATTATATTTAATGTTTTCCTAATTTGTAAAATATGTAAGTACATATAGGGAGTACCCAGCCACTTTCATTTTAAATGCAAAACCTGACAGTAACCCGAGTTTTGCTGACATTGAAAATGAGTCATAAAAAGCTAATCAATCATCACCATTAAATATGTATTTACTTTTAAATAGGTTTTAATAAGTAACAGGAATTACTGAAACTATCATTTCAAAATAAGATAACACCATGAGGCTTGGGGTGTGGCTCAGCAGTATAATGCTTGCCTAACATGCATGAGGCCATAGGTCTGATTCACCATACCAAGAAAGAAAGAAAGAAAGAAAGCACAATGAGGTAGTCACAGCATCTTCTTGTTTTTGGAAATGAAAATAAAAGCAAAGAGACCAAGTAATTTGATGATCTTGTAGAACATCAGAAATGAAAGCCAGATCAGGATCAGCATCCTGATTTTGTTTTCAATATTAAGATAAGTCTTGCTTCAATTTGTCATTTTGGGGGAGATACTGACCTCTATTATAGAATGAAATACACAGAATTATGATTAATAATATATATAATATTTAGGCTTTTCTTAAATTGCTATCTAAAAATCTTTGTAAATTTTCAGAACAAGATCACTCAGGATTTAAAGACATACTTCAAATCTCAACTTGAATAAAAAAGTATGTTCCTAAAACAACATGAAGTTGGCTATATCAATTAAAAGAAAAAGTTGATTTCCTTTTTAAAAAAGTTAAGTGTTTATACACAAACTACTGTGGGTTGATTAATGGTTTGGTTTAGGACTGGCCTATCCTTTCCTAAGCAAAACTAAACATAAATCACTTCCTTCAAAAACTGGTCTGAGAAGGAGTCTCTGGTTCATCCTATTTCCTTCTCTTTCCCTATGGCCCCCAGCTCTCAGAAGTCTGGATATGATGTATTGAGAAGAAAAACATCAACTGCACCAATTAAGAAACTCCCTTTTTAAAAAATTCAAGTATCACTTCTGCAGAATTGAGGGTGTTTAGCCATTCATCACTTAATGTGACTCACTTTAATTGGTCTTCTAAACTCCTAGCTAAGAATGCAAAAGAAATAACATGCTCACTGGGAGCTTTGGGTAAGAAAGATAAAAAGACAATTCTGAGCTATGTTCAGGTGCTTCAGAAGAACAGAAGAAAAGAGGGTCCAGGACTAGATGCTGGAGTTTGGTCAAAGACAGTTTCAAATATGTTGTAGTTTTGGATTTAGTACTACTGACCTAGAGCAAGCCAAAGGAAATATTCACAGTGAAACATCAGGAATGCAGCTAAAGGGTATAATTGTGAGGCCAAATACCATGAAATTTCAAACAGTCTGAATACATATATAATGTCATATAATGTAGTAGTGTCTGAACTCATGCATCTGTAGGTCCAACTGTACATATTGTTACTTAAAATCATTTTGTAGCCAGTGACTGAAATGGAAAAGATTTTTGAAATTCTGTACTTAATATCATCAACTATGAAACTTATCTTATGTTAAAATATTTTTATTTTATTTTGAAAAATTACTATTGACAGAAGTCAAAGTCTTATATGGCTGGCCTATATCTCTGTAAATATAGAAGTTCTCTGTAAATAACACTGAAAACACAATCATAGGGAAAGGTGTGGCTCTTCTTGATTTGAAAGTATTCAATTACAAAACTAACTTTTCTAATAAGAAAAAGAAATAATTGTTTATGATTATTTAAGGTTTTATTAAACGTATTTTGTGGATTTTAGGCTCAAATTACAAGTTTATATTTTAAATGACTGAAATCTGGTCATTAAAGAGTCTTAATAAAGCATCTCATGATGATTTTAGATAGGTAAGGTGACTTCTTGCCCATCTATGTACTAAAATACAACAGGATTTGCAAAGTACATTATTTGAGGGGGAAAAAAAGTTTCTATACAGGAATAGTGACTGCCTATAAAATGCAGGTGATGTATTTTAAAAGACCCTAAGTTGTCCACTTAACCTATATAAAAATCTTTACATTGGATTTTCTGCCAATATCTTTTCCTGGCCAGTTTAAAAAGTATCTTTGATTTAAATCAGAAAACAGGAGCTGAAGAAAAAAATTGCCATTTAAAATATTTTCTTGGACTAATATTCATATGACATGGGCATCTCTGACATTTCTGATTAACAGTAACATGGGTACTTAAATTCATGATTCAAGAAAAAATAATATACTAGAGAATCCTTATGAAAATCCAAGCATGAAATTCTAACAGCTCAAAGTGGCTTATGGTAATGCAATATATTAAACATTTATGGTTCTTTTCTACACACACATTGGAAGTGTAATGCATATTCTCAGGGAATCTTTACAGCAACTGACTTACCTTTCAATAAAACAGGAAAAGCTTTTTGAAATTCTATACTTAATATCATCAACTATGAAACTTATCTTATGTTAAAATATTCTTACAGGAATATAATTTTGAAAAATTATTATTGACAGAAGACTAATAATGGGAAGAAAAATATATCTAAATAAGTAAGTTCTTTTCATAAAGCTGATTTCTATAGCATTATATGGATTTACACAATTTTAAACAGGGAACTCTGTGTTGCATAGTCTACACAGTCATTACATTTTTTTTTTTTGCTCTTTCTGAATCCTGAGGCAGATTTAGTATTATATGGAGATACAGTATTTTCCACACTGAAACCAGACAAATACTGGAGTTTTTGAATAGCGTTACTTTTAATTGCACTACTTTAAAGTGGCAGGACACACTTCAGACACAAGTTAAATAAAAGTGGAAGTATTTGAATTCTTTGTACTTTGAGCTCTTCACAGGAAAAGTATTCCATAAATTCAAGTTGTTAAATTATGTGGGGGACAAGGAAAACAGATCATTCTCTGACAAAAAAGAAAAAAAATAATCCTAGCTTTTAAGATAATTCCTAATGTCCTGTATAGTATATAGGATGCAAGATACTGGCATTTAACTATTCAGATTTATGTAGAAGTACAGTACTTTGGAGAAGTACAAAGAAATACCTTCTTAAAAAAATACAGGTATATAAATTAATGAAACCAGTATTTAAAAGATTTAATACAAGGAAAAAAGGTATTGTATAGTGGTACCAATTCTTAATACAAATTATTAAGCATAGTTTATATAATTTCAAAAGTTATTCACATTATTGCTCGATACCACAGTTGCATGGAACAAACTCTTGACACACATTAAAACTTGTATAATTTCAGGCTTATAAAAACAAAAATTTACACATATGCCATATAGATATCTAAAAAGTTTTTAAATGCACGGAGGTTATCTATAATCAAAAAGACAAAAAAAAGTATGTATGTGTATATATTTAAAAATAATAAACTAATGATTCATGTCACAGTCACTCTCAATCAAAAAAAGTAACATAACTGACTGAAAGTGAATGCACAGATAAAAACAGTACTAAATATGTCCTTCATTCCCCTTAGTAGGAACTTGTTCTAAATACCATTGGGCTATTAAATAATAGCTTACTTTTAATCTAGAACTTTTGTTTTCTTTTCGAAACTCTTTAGAAACATATCCATTCTACAACTACATTTGATTGGGAGGAATATTTTTTCTTAGAAATTTTTAAAGGAGTACTGCCATAGTTTTGAATATAAGATATGGTGAACAATAAAAATAACCCAAGTAAGGCCATTATTAATATCATCTTGACCAAAAATATATGCAGATTGTGATGCTACTATATTTTGTGATCCTGAGCTCTAGTAACCATTAGATGCATGCATACCATTCATTGATTTGCCTATTCTAATAAAAATAATTTAATTCTGCCTTACTACCTTCAAAACTTTTTGATAGGTCTTCATAATGTTAACAGATAGATCTGCTGTAAAAAGAATATTTAGGAATTATATGACAAAGGGTATGTTATGTTCCAAAGGCTATTAAAGAAAACTTATTATTTTAAAGTAATTTCTATATTAAATTTTAAAAAGGAAGAAAAAATAATACAAAGAGTGTGCTTGCTAGAATATATAAGTAGGGTCTTACAGAGGTGTTTTTCTATGTTAAGAAATTTATAAATAAAGAATTGTGTGTACCTTGGTGATAAAATAAAAAAGGCTGGCCACTTTGTATGCTAAGTTCAAATGTATTTTTTTAAGAATACAAAAAGTAATCCTTGAAAATCAGAATACATAACAGAATAAAGCACAATAACTTAAGTATTAAACATCTGTATGAAATAACTTGCAAAGTTTGACAAATATGCACACACAGAACATGCGGTTATTTAAAAAAAAACAACAAAAACGAAAACAAACAACAACAACAACAAAAAAAAAAACACCACACAATTCTGTAGAACCAATGTTATGTCACCACCAGGAGAGCACCAAGCAAGGCACCATTGGAAAGACAACATACTTGGAAAGTCTCTATAAATAAAGTAAATGCTAATCTGGTCGAAAAATTGGTGTCTTTGGTAAAAATTCTATGAGGATGACCTGTAAAGGAAGAAGAGAAAGTTTTAAAAGGACTAAAACAGTTTTTTATCTTAAAACTTCACTTTCATCACTTAAAATTTTTTGAAAATCCATTCACATATCAAAACTACAAATTTTCTTAAAGCCGACATTTATTTGACACCCCAGAACCTCATCATTGAGAATTTTTCTGAATTTCAGTTCTATGAAGAGGCATAGTAAAATAAGTCTGAGAAGGTAAGTAGAGGTGGTTGATATGCCCCTGACAAACTGGAGGAATGCACACACTTGTATGCACATTATGAATGAATGAGAAGACTGAGAATTGCAGATGAAGTGTTATAGTCTATTTAATTCCAGCAATTTATGAGGTATTAGCACTGCTGTTTACAAATGAGAAAATTGATAATCTTACAAGTTGTAACATTATGGACTATGGAGTAACTATTTGAATAAAAAGTTGTTTTAACTCCAAAGCCTTGTCCTTTCTATTGTATTATGTGACTATAGTTGACCCAATATTTTCCTTCAGGTTTCTTCCCTTTTTCAATCCAATTCTGTAAGTTTTAGATGTTCTCATTTTACCACAGGATACTGGTCTTTCTACTTCTTTTAATTTTTTAAAGACCTTTTCTTCTTGAGTTAGCAAAATTAATTAAAATTTGGGGCTGGGGATATAGTTCAGTTGGTAGAGTGCTTGCCTTGCATGCATAAGGCACGGGGTTCAATCCCCAGCACCATCAAAGGGGGAAAAAAAAGATTAAAATGTGTTTGTTTCAAAGGAACTTTTAACAGGAAACTAAAAGAAAAAAACAAAAGCAAAAAACAACAATACAAAAACATACAAGTTGATGACAGCTAATTTTTATTCTGAACTTGAGTCATCTTAAATTTTAATTTAACTCTCTCCCTTGCTCCATCTCTGTATGGACTATTGCTGACTGAAAAGGCATTTAATCTGAACAATTTCCAAGTTTGGTGAGCATATCAATTATTTTTTTCAGAAATTATTATTTTTTGTGTGTCTTGATATGATCTCCAAATCTGAACACATTTACATGTTAATCCATTTGAACTAGGAAACTTTGTATTCCCTTGAGTTCTACTGGTTTCTTTTCCAGGGTCTCCCTAAATTGCCCAGACTGGACTAAAACCTGGGATCCTCCCGCCTCAGCTTTGAACAGCTGAGATTATAGCTGAACGAATCACAACCCACTGAATTACCATTAGTTTTTAAAAAACATATCCTACAAAACTCTTTTCCTTCAACAAGCACTCATAAAAATTGGGTACTTGTTTCTTCTAAATCATAATCCTCTACTGTATCTGAATAAAGAAAAATTAGTATAAAGTTGGTATTTTTTCTAGATTATCTCCGAAATTCAAAATACAATCAGGAAGAATTACTTTTCTTTTTAACTAATAAATGACATTTCTGTAAGTTATAGAAAAGCTGAGGGAAGGAAGGCTACGTGACAAAAAGGCTTGAATTCCTTAGATAAGGGGGCATTCACTCTCTTCTTACTGGATTATATGCTATTTTAACTTTTAAAAATTACCCTAAGGGACTTTATTTTTAATATTTATTTTTTAGTTCTTTTTTTTTTTTCCCCGGTGGACACAACATCTTTGTATGTGGCGCTGAGGATCAAACCTGGGCCGCACGCATGCCAGGCAAGCGCGCTACCGCTTGAGCCACATCCCCAGCCCCTTAGGAACTTTTTGAAGCCATGTTATTTTTGCTTTTAGCTATCAAAATCACATTCTTTGTTAGCAATTTTAAAAATTTTTTTTTTGTTTTACTACTCTTCTAGGTATCTTCTATGATAATATAATACAATCATTTTAGAAATGCTTAATTATCTAAAAATTCAAGGTAAACTATTTTCCAAACAAAGCATAAAGTTCAGAATGTTTTAGAAGTTACTAAATTATTTTAATTTTGGTTAATAAAAAAAAGTCATGAAATCTTTTTAAAAAATTCATATACCCTACTTGAAAATTACAGCATTAAAATTTTTTTTTTTTTTTTTTTTTTTAGTGCTGGGGATCAAACAAAGGCCTTGAGCATTTAGGTAAGTGCTCTTATCACTGATTTATATTCCAAGCTCAGGTATAATTTAGATGTTTTCTTTTCCAAAGTAAATTTAGAAATATACAAAAATAATTAATGCCTCCAACTTAAGCTTATTTGTTTGGATTTACAGATGTAGCAAATATTTCTTACAAAATCCCTTAAATCTCCTAAATATCTATTCCTCCCCACAAAATGTATACACAAAACCCTCTTACTATCTATAATAAAAAAATATGACTAATATTTTCATAGGTCAACCTTAAAACAAGTTACTCAAATGTGCTTTTTTTATGATTATAAAGAAGTATCAAGTGTCTTTCTCATCATCATAAATTAACATGTTTGATATAATAGATAAAGAAAATCTACATTATTCTGTTCATTGAATAGAGCTAGTTTATGGAAAAAAAAAGACACTTAAAAATATCTTTTTTGTTCAAGGCTAGAAATGGGATTTGACGACATGTTAATGAAAGAACCGGAAAATGCTAATAGAGAAAAATGATTTTATGATAATTTCCAACTATTTAAACACTATTTTAATCAATCTTTTATACACACATACAATCTATGATGGTTATATTGTTTCAAAGAAAAGACAAAATTCATCAGAAATGTTATAACAGGTACTTCACAAAGGCTGTGGTTTTAATTTTCAACAATTAACTCTTCCTTAGATCTTTTTCTTTTAATGTAATAACCTTTCCATATTTAAAACAAAACACTCAAGTTCAGGAAGAAAAGAAATATTCATAATTTCCTATAGTTATTTTCAACTTTTCAAAAGGAAAACAATTGTCCAAGTAAATCAAGGAGCCATTTTAAAGTTCTAAAATAAATTGTATATACATTCAAAATTAACTATCTTTTAAAGAAAAAACACAGAATGATCAGCATCTCCTTTCCTGCTTACTTTTAAGATAATTTTCACAAAGCAATATTCTAATAACACTTTGAAAGATTCTCTAAAGGCCACTGAGGTATACTGGCAGTTAAAGTCTATAAAGGCTAAAGGTTTCTTAAGCTCCAATGACTTGGCTGAAAGGTTTTCTTCCATACTTGGAAACTTGATTAGCATTATATAAAAAAGCCATATCTGACTTGCTGCGTAACCAAAGTTGTGGTTATTCTTTATACAGCATTTAAAATTTCACACTCCATCAACACATGTTCAGGCTATTTTATCTTGGCAATTAATTTATTATTTTTCAGAACACAGTGAAGCCTTGTTTTCAAGTCATTCATAACTTTATAAATCAGGCTTGCACATGAAACCCATGCATCTGTGAAGCGTAGAAAATCCTTGCACTCAGGAGATTAAGCTCCTGACACCTTTGCTGATTAATAATCATGGAAAGAATAAGATCAGAAGCAAAATAAATGATCATTTAATAGAGAAACTCACAAAACAGCCCTTTAACTTACATATTCCATCATGTTATTCGTTTCACATTTCCTTTTGCTCAGTCTCCAGTGCAAGCACAGCTAGACAAGTAGGAGAGTAAAAGAAGAAAAATGAGCTCTATTTTATTGCAGCACACAGACTAACCCATTTGTCCACCTTTCATATTTTTAGTTCAACAAAAGCATCTGTTTCCATACTGTGCAATTCAGACCCCAACAGTACGAAGCTGCTCCCTGTGGTACTCACCTTGTGGTATAACCTATTGTTTTCCCATTCTAATAACTTCTCAATCGATCTTCGTGTCTGGAAGACAAATGAGGAAAAAGTTTACTCTTGACTGGTTTCAGAAAAACTTTGTTTTGCAGCTGCTTTTTGTGTGAAAAGGGGAGAAGTACATGACAGTGACTGAGTATAGGATGGCGTATACCACTATCAATGTTCTAGCATGAAATAGAAACCTGAACAGAAACAGTACTTTTTGAATAAACATACACTTTGGTTTATTTGCATATGTATTTTTTAACTCTTTCAAATTTACTAGCTTCTGATTTCAAAGTATCAACGTCTAAAAAATTATTTATCTGCCAAATGATATATGTTCAAGTTCTAAGTTCTTTCAAAAATACTTTTGTAATATTTAAATAGTTACAAAGGCCCTTAATACTTTAAAACAAGGATAATTTAAATATTAACTAACAAAATGCAAAAGCCCTTTAGGGTAAATCTTAAAATGAAATAACTGAACATTTTTAAAGAAAAAAACCCACCAAACTATAAAATTCAAACTAATTTTAACATCATACTTTAAAATAATGTCTACATTTTTTAAAAATATTAATTATTCCAGTTAGAGTTTCTAAACAAAGTCAAAATTTTGTTCAAACCAATATAAAAGTAGTGTCTGGTAGTCAAACCAAATTCTTAATACATGGTACTCTTTAAAGAATCAACTGAGAAATTCACTTCACTTGATTGTTCCAGTATATATGTGCAGCAGGAAATGTTTCTTGTTTGGAAGGATGAATAAAGGAGAGTATAATTCATGATGCCAGGTGTTAGGATGAGACTGACACAGCTGCAGGTGCAAAAGTGATAGTATTGCCACAAGGATCAACTGCAACTTGGTGCAGCTGCAGTTTTCTTGAGAAAGAAGGAAAAAAGCATCTACCGCTATTAATATGGTACAACTGTAAATAAATACTAATAATCAAATATGTAATGCCTGTCAAACAATGATGAGCTAGATGAAAATTTTTAGGATCAAGTTGATTTTGAATTTTAATGTTACATAGTAAAAGATTAATATTTATTTAAATATTTATTGTAATCTAGTTCTAATATTACCTTTTAGCATGTTGAACATGCTAAAAACATACCAAAATCACGTAAGTGCCAATTATAATTCATAGCTACCAACGAATTACCACTACTGTCTTAAATTTTCCAAGCTTAGGCCATAGAAATCAGAAAATCAACTACCTTTCTGGGTGATAATACGCCAATGACTAATTTATTACATTACTTTTTTTGAACAGTCTTTTTGGCAAGAATTTTGAAGAAAAAAAAAGTGCCCTTGTTAACAATGATCAGCAGACCTCACTTGTTTCTTTGTAAAGATAGCCTTTTAGAGGCAGCTCTCCTTTTAAATGAAAATAGGGCAGCAGTTATGGTCACACTTTTTGTTAATTTAGTTGCCAGTCAGCCCCAAATCAAAAGAAAATAAGGCTGCAGAGTGTAATTAACATTCAGTTCAGTCGTTTTGTCCCTTGTCTAGCCCCCAAGCTTTGTTAAAATTGCCATCTGAATGCTGAAGGCTGTAGGGAAATCGATTTGATTCTAATCGCACCATGAAAAGAACATGATCTAACTGCTTTCAGCCCTCCGTAAATCTGTACTAGGTCTTTAGCACAATGCAACTTCCAATTTAAAAAGCACTGAATGTCTCGTCAATGACTTTGTGAAGAAAAAAGAACAAGGAGCAGACATAAAAATTCCAATAGTTGTTTAAGCATTAAAGTTCATTTGCATCACAGCGAACCTGAAAAGGGCTGACCTCTCAAACCGCCTCTCAGGTCTATGAAGTTGTAGCCTTGACAAGCTCACATTGACAGAGCTCATTGACTCTGAAAGGCTACTCTATCAATGGTGAAAAATGGCAATAGGTTCTACTATGAGCAGGCATCTGCCTGCCCACCCGCTGCTAAACCAATGGTAAAACCGATTCAAAACCTGAATCTACCTTGTAATCTTCCTTTCTAGGACCTTTTAATAATAGATTAAGATTACTATACAATTTGAGGTTTTACTTTTACTGATGGTTTAAAGGTTGGAGGGGGTGTTGAAAGAAACAGGGTAGGGAGAGAGAACTAGCTTTCCAAGTCTATTGTTTTATATTAACACATAAAAATAGAATCCAAAAGCTTAACACTACACTTTGCAAATATTTATTACTTAAAGAAAATAATATTGTTAGCATCATCTTATTGCATCAGAAATTTAAATCCATGAAAATCTACATTATGAAAATGGAATTCTTTATGATGCATATATATATATATATATATACACACAAACACAATTTAAAACTTTAAAATATTTCCTTTACATAACTTACATCAACTACCAGTATTTGAATAAAAAATAATTACATAATTACAAAGTATGAACCTAAAATTCCAAAATACTTATGTAGGAATTCTGAATTTATTCTTTGCCTCTAATTGAGAGTTTAACGATAGGGTTTGTTATAGTAATTGTGTCTTAAAATATTTAAGAATTCTAAACCAAACAAACCCTGCTATGCTACATTCTGAATAAGCATCTAAATATACAATATTTCTACACACTTGACAGTCTGAAGTAAAAGCTGTGAATTAGCACCATCTAATCTTGCTATAAGACTTCTTTCCTGCTTGACAGGTGAAAAAAAAAGGCACTTGCACGTGCAGCTTAATTAATCATTGCACTTGACATCTCAATGATTTACAGTGAGGAGCAGGTGAGAACATACAAAACCAGAAAGAACCCTTGATTTGAGTGGAACATTTCTTGCACACTAAGGTGACAAGTATGTAGATTCTAGCAGAGATTAAAAATAAAAAAAAAGAAAGAAAAGAAACTGTGCCACAAATTATTTGTTAGTAGCAACAAAAGCTCAAATTAAATGGAAAAAAAAAAGCTGTAACTACTGAGAATGTTTAATACTCTGCAATTAATTTTAGTTAACAAAATCAAAATATATTTTCAAGATTAAATACAATACCAATTTGACAGATCATGAAAAAAATGACACTTAAGCATTTATAAAAGCAATTTCAAAGCTTTCAAACTTCAATTGCAGTCATTTAGAAATAAAAGTTAAGAGTTCATGTCCACAGGACTATCAGAGATCTATTTCTAATTTCAGCATTGCCAAACTCTACCGTAACTAACTGGACAAGCAAACTTAATCATATAAAAACTGTCCTGGAATTTAAATGTCTATATTGACCTCCAAGTTTCAAAATAAAGCAAATTAAACCATTAGAAAAAAATATGTAGAGGCCTGCCACAAAAAATACCAATAAAACATTATCTTTCTAGGCTAGCTTTTAAAAATAAGTCATCTTAATTTTCTTTAAAGAATTTAGTGCTTGTGAAAAGCCCCGAATTGATAGTCATGGGAACTAAGGATCTTCTATTTAGCTGAAAGAACAGGGGAAAGGGCAGTGCAGGCTTCAGTACAAGGTTCCCTACAGTGGGCCTTAATCCTTTTCAGTGCCTACACCCTGGGGGTGAGAGGACAGGTTAGTGGTTCTTTACCAAGGAATCCTCAGTCCTTCTGCTTAAGATGATCAATAAGAAATCTAATTTTATGATAAATTCTTTAATTAAAAGTACCAGGACCACCAACTTACACCATGTAAGCAAAACAACTTTTTGTGAGAATGTCATGTCACTAACCTGGAAGAGGACAGCTTCAAGCATCTGGACTCCCACCCATCTCCCTTGAGAGTTCATTTTGAAGGCCCTCCCTTTTAAAACAGTAACAACATATTTCTTCATTTCAACATCTTGGTGGTTTTATTTTCCTTATTAGTGAGTTACTTCTAATATAGCCTCTTAAAATAACAAGAGATTAAAAAACATAATTCAATTAATAAATATACGTTAAATAGATTTAAATTGAGTAATAAGCAGTAGTACCACAAGGAGAAACATTTTGGCTTCTACTCTTGTTGTGCTTGGTTGCTTTGAAATGTTTGGTAAAACTGTGGGAATAAGCCAAAACATGAGAACTGCAAGAGAAGTCAAAGGATATGAACAATGCACAAAACAACTTACTTAGGTGACTAATCAACAAGGTTAGATATGACATACCCTGTAAGTTCCAAAAAAGAATATAAAGTAAGCTTACAATAGTTTAAAAAAAAAAAGTATGAAACACTGTGAAAACCTAAATTACTGAAATAGAAAATCAGGATTTCCTAAAAAAACCTCAAATTTGATTATAAAATATTTTTACAATTTCATTTAACTAACTTTTACTCTATAGATAAAATTCACTACTTACAGGTTTATTTGAATTGGATTTATTCATAACATCAGAGAATGTCAAAGCCAAATTTCAAACGTTCAATTTCATATTTAAAACAAATTTTGAATTTTAAACTTCTAAAAGTATAATTCATTAAGCTTTAACTAAAATGCTTTAAATGTATTCATAATCTTATTTTTATCTTTTAAATGTTTTTCAAAAAAGAATTACACATATATTTAGACTTCACTATAAACTGAAATTGTTAAAATAAGTGAAACAATTAATATTTTTAGTTATAAGTTATTAGAAGAAAAACATATGATTTGGAATGGATTATTTTAACTTTGGAGAACTAAAGAGAAAATTACTTGATTTACTTCTGTTTGTTCTGGATTAATGTTAAATCTTATATTCCAATTATGTGCAGAAAATTCTGTCATATCTCAAAATTATGACATATGAAAAACTTGGATTACCAACCATATAACAAGAATATGTATGAATTGCTCAAAGGAATTTTCAACCAAATTCCCTTCCTCTACATAAAAGCTCCTTTTAAAAATTGTAATGTGAACACTGAATTTCAAATAATCTAGATATACTAAAATATCCACTAAAGTATCATTAGAATAAAGTTTTTAGTAATGTTTGTTAAAAAGTAGTATTGTTGGGGCTGGGGATATAGTTCAGGGGTACAGTGCTTGTGAAGCCTGAAGAAGTCCTGAGTTCCATCCCCATAATTGCAAAAAAGAAGAAGAAAAAGTACCTCTGTTAGAGATAAGCT